GATTTTGGGGAAGAATTTTGGGGGTTTTGGGGTGGGTTTGGGTTTTTTTGAGAAGAGTTTTGGGGGTTTGGGGAAGAATTTGGGATTTTTTGGGGAAGAATTTGGGATTTTTTGGGGTGGATTTGGGGTTTTTGGGAAGGAATTTGGGATTTTTTTGGAGTGGATTTGGGATTTTTTGGGAAGGAATTTGGGGTTTTTTGGAAGAATTTGGGATTTTTTGGGGTGGATTTGGGATTTTTTTGGAGTGGATTTGGGAATTTTTGGGGGGATTTGGGGGTTTTGGGGTGGATTTGGGATTTTGGGATTTTTTGGGAAGAATTTGGGATTTTTTGGGGGGTGGATTTGGGGTTTTTTGGGGTGGGTTTGGAATTTTTTTGGTGGATTTTGGGATTTTTTCGGGGAAGAATTTGGGATTTTTGGGGTGGATTTGGGGTTTTTGGAAAGAATTTGGGATTTTTTGGAAAGAATTTGGGATTTTTTTGGGGTGGATTTGGGATTTTTTGGGAAGGAATTTGGGGTTTTTTGGAAAGAATTTGAGATTTTTTTGGGGATGGATTTGGGATTTTTTTGGGGTGGATTTGGGGATTTTAGGGAAGAATTTTGGGGTTTTTTGGAAAGAATTTGGGGATTTTTTTTGTGGATTTTGGGATTTTTTGGGAGAAATTTGGGATTTTTTGGGATGGTTTTTGGGGGTATTTTTGACATATTTTGGGACATTTTTGGGATATTTTAGGGATATTTTGGTGACATTTTGGGGACATTTTTGGGGTGTTTTGGGGATATTTTAGGGATATTTTCAGGGTGTTTTAGGGACATTTTTGGGATATTTTTGGGGTGTTTTTGGGAATATTTTTGGGGTGTTTTGGGGATATTTTAGGGAATATTTCAGGGATATTTCAGGGATATTTTGGGAATATTTTGGGGATATTTTAGGGAATATTTCACGGATATTTTAGGAATATTTCGGAGATATTTTAGGGATATTTTAGGGATATTTTAGGGATATTTTAGGGATATTTTGGGATATTTTTGGGATATTTCAGGGATATTTTCGGGATATTTCAGGGATATTTTTGGGGTGTTTTTGGGGTGTCTCACAGCCTTGGAGCCCCAGAGTTTGGCGATGCTCCACGGGATATTTTTGGGAATATTTTGGTCACATTTTGGAATATTTTGGGACAGTTTTTGGGAATATTTTGGGGATATTTTTATGATATTTTCAGGGTGTTTCAGGGATATTTTTGGGATATTTTTGGGATATTTTTGGGGTGTTTTTGGGGTGTCTCACAGCCTTGGAGCCCCAGAGTTTGGCGATGCTCCTGACGGACTCGGCGGCCTCGGGCGGCTCCGGCTCCTCCCGCACGTCCTCGATCGGGGGCTCCTCCCCCCCCTCGGAGCCTTCGGCCTCGTCCTCCTCCCCCGCGGCCTCCTCCAGGTCTGCCAGCAGCTCGTCAGCCAGAGACA